CCAAGATGCAGACTCCTCTCTGTAATCTTCTTCATGATTTATCTCATCACTCTCATGGGCAAACTTGGGCTGATGGCACAGATCAAGACAAGCCCCTGGCTGCACACCACCATGTACTTCTTCCTCTGCAATCTCTCTGCTGTCGATCTTTGCTACTCCTCTGTCTTTGCTCCAAAGCTGCTTCTTGGTGGAAAACAAAACCATCTCTTACCCTGCCTGCTTCCTGCAGCATTTCTTCTTCCTCATGTTTGTGACCACAGAGGTGCTCTTGCTGGCTGTGATATCTTATGACCGCTATGTAGCCATCTGCAACCCACTGCTCTAAACGGTTTCCATGCCCCAGGGGTCTGTGTTCAGCTGGTGGCTGCATCATACATGGGGGGGAGTTTGAATTCCCTAATTCAAACCTGTTGCTTGCTGCTGTTGCCTTTCTGCGGTCCAAACACCATCAACCATTACTTCTGTGACACTAACCCTTTGCTGAAGCTCTCTTGCTCCAACAGCCACCTCAATGAGCTTTTGCTTGTAATTCTTCATGGGAGCATTTCCATGTCTGTGCTCGTCCTCATCATCACCTCCTATGTATACATCCTCTTGTCCATCCTGAGGATTAAGTCTGCTGACAGAGAAAGTCACCGCTGTGTTTTACACCCTCCTTGTCCCTATGCTCAACCCTCTGATCTACAGCTTGAGGAACAAGGATGTTAAAGATGCCCTTAAAAAAGCAACAGCAAATAACCTCATTGCGAGCTGCTCATTGACCAACCCGGTCCCAATCGGTTGATAGAACTCCTCCTCTTTCCCTTTTTAACTTGTTTTGTGTCAGCTGTCTGGAGGAGGAAGGGACTGAATGTGTTTACAGGAGCAGGTACAGCACATCCTAACCATGCTTTAAACTCTGCAGAGGCTCGGTGATGTTAAGCATCCCCTCAATATAGGTCTCTGATAAATATTCCCTTGTCATCTCTTGGGTTTTGTTTTTTTTTGGGGGGGAAAGATGTGATATCATAGGAGGTGGCAAAAATAAGCCCATGAGGAATTTCCCTCTTCAGTTTAGCTTTAGAAGTTGCACTGATTCAAGCAGTGATTCATCCAGAGGCAAGTTCAAGGAGGGATGAAGGTTTTTGAGGAGGTACATCCAAAATACATCACTTTACTTTGGGCTAATGCAAGGAAATGCATAAAATCCCATTTGCTTCCAGAAGGCTGCGCAGTGCAAAGTAAGGAAATGGGAGGAGAAGCAGAGCCACTGAGCTGCCAGAGGATGAGCATGGTATGTGCTGTGATTGAGCATTGGGAAGATGCTAAATTGCTGTGTGACCAGAACATCCCAGCCTGGAGGCAGCACAGCTGTGTCTGTCATCCTGCACCTTCCTTCCTACCACTGCAAACATCCAGCTCAGCCAAAGAGGTTTCACAGCACTGTGTGCGTTGGAAGGAGCTTAAAGGCCACCTATTTCTAACCTCCTTGCTGTGGGCTTCATCTCACATCTGGTTTAGGAGAAGTAGCAGCTGAGAGTAGGATTTTCCCCTATTGCCAAGGATTTTAGTATGATTGAATGTAATGTCTTTAGGGAGAAGTATGATTTTTCCCCTGTTTTCTTGTTGTGGGGCTGCTGTAAGTGATATTTCCTCCCACCCAACTCTTCCCCAACACAACCTGTTAACTGAGAAGGTACCACTGAGGAATGCTGCAGAACTTCATGCTCTGCAAAGCAGAAATAACCAACTGCAACCTGTTAGAGACCTTTAGCAATAAGCTCTTTATGTAGCAAATAGAGACCTGGAGACAGACACAGACAAGGAGGGGGAGATGTTTATAACACTTAGTTTCCGTTAGAGCTTGCCTTGTCCCTAGCTTGGACACCAGAGGGTCTTGCCTCTCATTAAGAGCTGTTTGTGCTGTTTGCATGATGCAAGGTGCCTCAAGGGAGCAGCCAGGACCAGTTATTCCCAATGGGAAGGTAAGCTGGGAGCTGAAAGTGGCCACAAAGCAGAGCGCGGTCCCCCTGTGCCTGAGCACAGCAGCAGCTTCCACTGATAGCCCAGGGGAAACTAAGAGTCAAGTTCATGGTTGCTACTGACCAGGAGCAATCCCAGTTACAGCACAGCCCTGGAAGTGGGCCCAGTGCCAGGACTGTGCTTAAATAGAGCCTGAGCCTATGTCAGAGGGTGTGTGAGAAGGACCCAGGTGATGCTGGCCATGGCAATTACTGTGGCTGCACTCCCTGATGTCTCAAGGAGAGGGGAACTGGGTTTTCCACAACGCAATGCCCTAAACACAGCGGCAGCTCTGCATTCAGCCTCCTCTGATGTATTCCTGTGTGCAGAGGATGAAAGAATGGAGCAGAAAGGAGCAAAGAGCTCCTTTATTGTGTTAATGAGAATCACCCCCTCCTCAGTTTATGCAAAATCATGGAATCATGGAATGGTTTGGGTTGGAAGGGAGCTTAAAGCTCCTCCAGCTCCGACCCCAACACCTTCCACTGGAGCAGCTTGCTCCAAGCCCCTGTGACCAACCTGGCCTTGAACACTGTCAGGGATGGGGCAGCCACAGCTTCTCGGGGCACCCTGTGCCAGCGCCTCAACACCCTCCCAGGGAAGAGCTTCTGCCTAAGAGCTCACCTCAGTCTCCCCTCGGGCAGGTTAAAGCCATTCCCCTTGGCCTGTCCCTACAGGCCCTGATGAAGAGTCCCTCTCTTATTCTATCTGAATCAGTTGCTTCACATGTTGTGTTCTCTTTTCTTGAGGGAATTGTTCAAATGTCTTTATTTTTCATGAAAACTCCATCAGAAACTTTGATTAAAAGCTTATAAAGTGAGCGTTTCACTTCACACCAACTTAAATTAGATTTTGACTGGTTGCCATTGCATTCATTCATTATTCATCACAGTTCTTTGCAGAAGACCACGGTTTCCAAAGGTACTTATTTTGACCACAAATTTATTCAGTTTGTCATTATACAAGTACATGTTCTTCCAGCAATTGTACAGTTCATTAAACAGAATGGTGTGTTTGGATTAAATGTTAAAACCCCTCCATCTACTGTTTCATTTAGAGCATCTTCCTCCTCAATAATGTGATGACATACAGAAGGGGATGTGACATGGTCAAATCCACAAAGCACAGACCTGGTACTGAGCATCCAGAAAGGAAAAGATGTAAGGACCACACATCCCAGGAAGATTTTAGTTGGGACACACTTCTGGCCACATGCTAACCTATGTGTGCCTATCACAAGTCCTTAGCACTGCTCCAGCTCACTTACACAGGATAAATGTATTGGATGGTCATATCAGGTATCACAGAATCCCAGACTGGTTTATGTTGGAAGGGACCTAAAAGCTCTCAACTTCCAACCCCTGCCATGGGCAGGGACGCCTTCCACTAGAGCAGCTTGCTCCAAGCCCCTGTGTCCTACCTGGCCTTGAACACTGCCAGGGATGGAGTAGCCACAGCTTCTCTGGGCACCCTGTGCCAGCACGTTGGCACCCTCATAGTGAAGAATTCCTTCCTTACATAAAATCTGGATCCCCCCTGTTTCAGTCTGAACCCATTACCCCTTGTCCTATCCCTACAGTCCCTGATGAAGAGTCCCTCTCCTGCATCCTTGTAGCCCCCTTCAGACACTGGAAGCTGCTCTGAGGTCTCCAAGCAGCTTCTCTTCTCCAGGCTGAACAGCCCCAATGTTCTCAGCCTGGTGCCATACGGGAGCTGCTCCAGCCCCTGAGCATCCTCGTGGCCTCCTGTGGACTTACTCCAGCAGCTCCATGGCCTTCTTATATTCCCTGCAGAGAAGGACTTGGGGGTGCTGGGCGATGAAAAAATGAACATGAGCCAGCTTCAGTGTGCGCTTGCAGCCCAGAAACCAACTGTATCCTGGGCTGCATCCAAAGGAGCGTGACCAGCAGGTCGAAGGATGTGATCCTGCCCCTCTACCCTGCTCTCGTCAGAGCTCACCTGGAGCACTGTGTGTAGTTCTGGTGTCCTCAACATAAAAAGGACATGGAACTGTTGGAACAAGTCCAGAGGAGGCCACGAGGATGATCAGGGACTGAAGCACCTCCTCTATGAAGACAGGCTGAGAAATTTGGGGCAGTTCAGCCTGGAGAAGGCTGAGTGGATACCTCATAGCAGCCTTCAGTATCTGAAAAGGGAGTTTAAAGGATGCTGGGAATGGACTCCTCATTAGCACGGTAGTGACAGCACAAGGGCAACGGGTTAAAACTTAAACAGGGGAAGTTTAGGTTGGATATAAGGAAGAAATTCTTTCTTGTGAGGGTGCTGAGGCACTGGAATGGGTTGCTAAGGGAGGTTGTGTATGTTCTATCCCGGGCAGTGTTCAAGGCCAGGTTGGACAGAGCCTTGGGTGACATGGTTTAGTGTGAGGCCTACCTACCAATGGCAGGGGGGCTGGAACTGGATGATCTTAAGGTCCTTTCCAACTCAAACTATTCTATGGTTCTAAGATTCTATAGACACGAAAACTGTATCAGAACTGCAGGGGATACCAGAGCTGTATTGAACCGTTGGTCTGTCCCTCAGGTCTTCAAGCTCGTTTGGGATGAACAAGTATCACCAGGCAATGGAGACAGTGGTCACTGCCTTAAATCAAGGATGAGCCTCTTTTTTGTGGGCACTACTTTCATTTAGGACTATTTAGACACAAAACACCATGGTGGGGTCTCAGGTGTGCTATTGAAGAGCTGATACTTATTTGAATTAATTATTGAAGGCTCAGGCCACGCTTACAAACACCTGAAGGTGTTTAAAGACAACAATTTGTTGTGCTGTTTATCCATGCCCTGCACTTGCTGTGTGATCTCCTTATCTCTAATAATGACCAGTGGTGAGCAATAATGACCAATAATGGCCAGTAATGATCAATTCCATAATCACATATTCCACATATTCCTTCCTTACCTCCACAGTACTGAAGGGCTCCAAATGTGCTTTCAAACCCTGCATAGATGTGGCAGCAGCTTTCGCTCCCACAGCCTCCTCAGAGCCCCCTTCACCTCCTTGTTCCTCAGGCTGTAGATGAGGGGGTTGAGGGTTGGGGTGAGGATGGAGTAACACAGCGACACCAGCTTTGCCTGATCCCATGAAGATGCCTCATGAGGCTGGACATAGGTGAGGATCCCGGGTGTGTAGAAGATGGTGATGGCAGCCAAGTGGGAGGCACAGGTAGAGAAGACCTTCAGCCTCCTCGTGGCCAAAGGGATCTGCAGGACAGTGTGGAGGATGTAGGTGTAGGACACCAGGATCATCAGGAGAGAGACCACAGCATTAAACGTAACACTGGACACCAACACAAACTTGTTTCTGTGGGTGTCTGAGCAAGAGATCTGCAGGAGGGTGGGCAGCTCACAGAAGAAGTGGTTGATGCTCCTGGCCTGACAGAAGGACAACCTCCCTGCCAGCGTGATGTGCACCAGGGAGGTGAGGAACCCGATGGTGTACACCAGCACCATCATGCCATAGCAACGCGCCCTGGTCATGGCAATGGTGTAGAGCAGGGGCTTGCACACAGCTGTGTATCGGTCATAAGCCATTACCCCATAGAGGAAGCACTCACAGATACCCAGAGCCAGGAAAATATACATCTGGGCAAAGCAACCCCAAAAGGAGATGTGGCTTCTCCCCAGCAGGAAGGTCTCCAGAGCTTTTGGGATGATAGCAGAGGAAAGGCAAACATCCATGCAAGATAAGTGGCTCAGGAAGAAGTACATGGGGATGTTGAGGTGGGGGTCAGTGTTGATCAGCAGGATCATCGTCACGTTCCCCAGCACCATGAAAACATAGAGGGATAAGAAGACTGTGAAGATGGTGGTTTGTAGCGCTGGGGCATCAGAGAAACCCAAGAGGATGAAGCTGGAGAGAACCGTGAGGTTTCCTGTATCTGTCATTTCAACAAGTTGATGGATTTGGATTGAAATGAAAGGAATCAGTGAAATACATCCCTTAGAGATAAATAATGTGGAAGTTTAGTTAGAGTTTAATCCACAAAGTAAATGCAATGGAAAATGGTGTATTTGTAATGGTGTATTTCTGTGTGTAGCCCAAGATCTGAAGTCAAAGAGGTGAATGAGCTCATTACACAACCTGAAATTAAAAGAGAATAATTCTACCATGATTGATATACACTGCACTAATGAAACACTGGGAAACATCATGTCTATCCAAATGTAATGCAATAAAATCAAATTAGTACGTCCACAAATGTGGAAAACAGAAAACATTTTGTCTTTTCTGATTTCTGGGAATTTTAAGGACCTTTTTTTCTCTCTTTTTCTGTATTTTTCAGAGTGGATCAGTGCTCTTCTCTAGATTCATTACTTGTGCTGCATCCTTTTCATCACAACACAAAGCCATGTACTTGAAATTTGCTTTAAGTTCTAAGTTTATCTGCTTTTGAGGGACTCCCACCCTGCATAATGTTAAGGGAAAGCAGTGGTCTTAGCTCTATCAGAGCTTTCCTGTGATTGCAGTGAGCTGCCTATGACCAACTCAAATATGCACCTAAGGGTGTAAAATACAAAATATATAAACCAAAATTTTAAGGCTTTAGCTTGGATATTCTCCACAATTCAATTTCTCTGCAGATGAATTACTTGATGGAATATCAATCTATGAATGGCTACATCAGTGCTAAAATACCCCTAAATCTGTTGTAGATGGGGTCAGGAACGTGGGTTTTTGAAGCAAAGCTACCCTGTACTAGTGCACGTTTATTCACACCACATAATAACATAGAATGCTTTGGGTTGAAGGGACCTTAAAACTCATCCAGTCCCAGCCTCCTGCCAAGAACCCCCACCCTGCATAAAGTTAAGGGAATACAGTGGTCTTAGCTCTAGCAGAGCTTTGCTGGGATTGCAGTGAGCTTCCTATGACCAACCCAAATATCCATCTAAGAGTGTAAAATACAAAATATACCATATATAAATCAAATTTTTAAGGCTTTAGCTCGGATATTCTCATGCTAAAATATCGCTAAATCAGTTGTAGATGGGGTCAGGAAGGTTGGTGTTTTTGAAGCAAACCTACCCCATACTAGGGCACTTTTATTCTCATCATCGGATATAAGACAATGTTTTGGGTTGAAGGGAGGTTAAAGCTCACCCAGCTCCAAGCCCTGCCATGGGCAGGGATGCCTTCCACTGGAGCAACTTGCTCCAAGCCGCTGTGTCCAACCTGGCCATGAACACTGACAAGGATGGGGCAGCCACAGCTTCTCTGGGCACCCTGTGCCAGTGCCTCAGCACCCTCACAGGGAAGAACTTCCTTAACTCAAACCTGAATTTCTCTGTTTTAGTTTAAACCCATCACCCTTTGCCCTATCAATACAGTCCCTGAAGAAGAGTGAAATTCAACATGCCATCAAAGCATGGGAGAGGTAGCATGACCAGGGTCAAACTGGACCCACCACCCATCAAACCCTTTTGTACCTGCTTGGTTAAAGGGGAAGGTGGTGGTGGATGCAGTGCCTGCAGCTCCTCCTGGAGACCATGCGATGGGTTGAAGGAGAGATGCCTGCGAGCAGGATGCTCCAGGCTGGCTGCTGGAGGGGTTTTATCTCACAGGAGGCATTACCTCAGAGGCTTGTGTTGTGCAAACTGTTCTCCCAAAGGACCCTCCTCCATCGGATAATTAGTTTGACTTGATCAGCAAAACAACCTCTCAATTCCTCTCTCCCCAAACTCCTTCTGGCTGAATCAACACCTTCAAGACCAGTTCTCCTGTAGAGACCTACCCAGGAAGACAGGCCCAGGACAGTTTGCTTTGTATTTCCCCATCTATCACATACCTCTTCCTTTCAGTGTTTCCCTGAGGAAGCCCTTTACATCCACAGGGATCATCTAATATTGCATTGAAGGGAGCTGCAAACAAGCACAACAAAGTATCATCTGTGTGGATGGTTTGTGCTGGTCATGGGGAGTCCTTTCCATCACATACATTTATTTCCATACAGTTGACTAGTGAATGTACACCACTTTGGTCAAAAGCATTGGCTCAAAATGTGGCTGCTTTGAGGATATATCAGGATGAAGTCAGATTTCCCAGTCTTCATCTGAAGAATTCTGAGTGTTGGTGTGTCCCGAATATTTCTCCTAGATGAAGAGACATGATAAAACCCTTAGTAGAAATATTAAATGATAACCTTGTCCCAGACATTTAGAAAAGACAAAGGATGGGGCAGATAGAAGAGAAAACCAAGGTATGAAAATGTGGGGAAGCAAGAAAGAGTAGAATGTAGATGGCTTTAGATGTTTTCAATGTCAACCTGTTTTTCTGCTTGAAGGCACCAGACTGACAGTCCAGGAGATGCACTGGAGGAGGGTAGAAAATTATTTCTGAGTGGATTTGAATGTCTTTCTTCCCCATTGGGTACTGGGCTAAAACCAAGGCTTGTGAAGTGGGAAAATCAGTATAACAGAGGGAGAAATAACCCTCAATCAAATTCTGGAAAGAAGAGAAATATATAATTCAAAGATTATTGAAAAGAACTACATGAAGGCAAAAAGAGGCACTGAGAATACCTGGGTGCGATTGTGCAGGGTGAATAATGCAGCTTGAAGTCCCAGATGCAGACAGCTGGGTATTGTACTTGCTCCATCGGGCTCATCAGGATACCCATGCCAGCAGCACCTTGGGTGTTCAGGGGAGAGGAAGACC